GCATGAGCACTCGCCTGCATGTGAGTGCGCCCTTCCCTTCCTGCCTCACCTCACTTCATCTCCACTCACCTACTGTCATGCACTTACCAAAAGAAGCCCAACAAATCACAACACTGTGCAGCCTACACCACAAAGCACACAGCCAAACCCCCACAGGAGAAAATGGGTTGAGTGATGCGAGTATGAACCACCCCTCCTCTCGCATTTCACCCGCCCTCCTCCTCCATGTCCCCTACCCTCCTTCCTCCCGCATCTCCTCCACTCCCATATCTCACCCTCTCCCCCACCCTTGTCCCTTTCAGGCGGGGCACGTGGCATCGGAGTGTGTGACAGGAGTGGACATAGTGGAGCTCATGCTGAGGGCAGCAGCGGGGCAGAAGCTCGCCGTGCCGCAGGACCGCATAGCCGAGCCCAAGGGCTGGGCCATTGGCGCTCGTGTCTACAGCGACAACCCCCGCAAAAATTTCCTCCCGTATGTCTCCTCCCCCCTCGTCGCTCTGCCATGCCTGCTGCTCTTGTCGTCCTCATTCCCATGCCCATGCCCATGCTGCATTATGTGCACCCACCCCCTTATGGCACTCTCGCTCTATGCCAGCACGCCCTAGCTCTACCATCCCACTGCTCTGCATTCCTGTAAGCTGCTGCCCTGCCATCACACCGTGCTGTCTCCCTGGCTCCATCGCTGGCCGTGGATGCAGGTCGAGTGGCAAGATCCTACGTTACATAGAGCCCGCCATGCAGTGCTCAAACGAGGGCATTCTGCGCATCGACTCGGGTGTGTCTGAGGGTGACGTCATCAACTTCTACTACCACCCGCTCATGTCCAAGGTACCTTCAATCACAAACATCTCCCATCCAAAATCCTTGCAAGTACCAACCAGTCCCATCCACGCTCTCTGCTGCTACCACCCTCGATCTCATGCAATCGTGCCTTCACCACACACCATAACGCATATTGAGAGGCGAGTGCTGTCCTTCCTTGGGTGACCTGTGCTGCTGTGCTGCTCTTCCCTGTGCGGCGGTGTGGCAGGTGACCACGTGGGCGCTCACACGAGATGCTGCCATTGACAAGATGGAGGTCAGTGCCCCGTCATGCCTTGCCCAACGCCTTGCCTTGTCCCGTCATGCCTTGCCCGGTTCTGTCACCCCTTGCCCTGCTTTGCTTTGCCGTGCCATTCCTCCCTCTTTCCCTTCCTTTTTTCTTACCCACAGCTTCCTGTCCCTCTTCTTCTGACCCAGTCAATCCTTTAGTTGCCTCTCCCCTTCCTCCACCATAGCTATACACTCACCCCTTTCCACTCCACCCCATCCCACCCCACTCCACCACATCCCACCCATGGCAGTACGCCCTGGACCGGTACTACATTGAGGGCATAGAGAGCAACATCCCCTTCCTGCGCTGCATCGTCTCCCACCCGGTCAGCCCCCGCTCTGCACTCCTCTCCCTGCCTGGCTTACATGCTGCCTTGCCTTGCCTGTCTTGCCCCGCCCTGCCTTGCACGCTGCCCTTCACCGTACAGCACGCCAGCACTGCACAGCGCTGTTCCTTGGGGCACTGACATGCTCACCTCCACACCGTAGGCCTGTGTTGCTCTCGCTCCCACGCCCACCCTTCTCTTTGCCACAGATTCTGCACCCAGCTCGTTGCACAATTCACCTTCCTCACCCTTCCTCACCCTTCCTCACTCTTCCCCCCTGTCTTCCCCACAGGCATTCGCGTCGGGCAACATAACGACCAACTTCATTCAGGACAACTTCCCTGCTGGCTTCTATAACGACCACCTCTCGCCCCGTGAAGAGGTGCGCCCACTCCACACCACGCCATGCCCCGCCACGCAATGCCTGCGTCGACGGCAATGGATCTGCCTGTCTCACACCCACGTTTCCTCGTCACCATCTGCCACATCATCCTCAAATCACACACTCACCACCTCTCCGAATCCTGGGTGTGCCATCTCAACCCCTCTCCTATCCACCGTGCCCCCACCTCCCCTCCCCACTCCCACTACCACCCCCACCCTCCCACCTAACCCTCCCCCCTAACCCTCCCCCACTGCCTCCCCCCATTCAGAGCGAGCTGGCGGGCATATCGGCGTTCCTGCACGTGATCAAGGGCGTGCGCGCCTCTGCCACCGTCACCTCGGACCGCCCGGCAGCAGACGCCACGGCGGCAGCAGCAGCAGCAACGCTGTCACAGAAGGCAGTGACGGAGAAGCTGGTGGTGTCCGTGGATGGCCAGCAGGTGCCCGTGACTCTCACGCACTGGCCCTCCGACAAACACCCCGTGCTGCGCCGCGCCGTGAGTGCTGCCACGCTCTCGCCCTTCGCCTAAAAGTGCTGTTTTCCTTTGCTCTACTCCCGTGTACGGCTGCCAGTGATGTCCACTCAGGTTGAATTACGATTGGAGTAGTTGTGTGTGAGTCTAGGTTGAGGTGTGAGGTCGGCCATGTGTGTGTGATGCTGCTTGCATGTCCACCCTGCACATCACCCGTGTGTTGTCTGTAACACCCCAAGTCGTTCCTTCCAATCCTGGGCTAACAATTGCTGTTCCTGTATGCGCCTGTGTTGGGGTGCATGGGGTGGAAGGGAGCGCATGGGGTGTGGGGGGTCCTATGGGGTGTTGGGGGGGTGCATGGGGAGTGGGTGGGTGGGGGCACATGGGTGTGCTGGGGAACATGGGGTTTGGGGGGGCCGCATGGGTGTGGGGGTTCGGATGGGGTGTGTGGGGGGGGCATGGGGTGAGCAGAAGGTGGACGTGGGCGGCGAGGTGATGGAGGTGGAGGAGCGCGACCCCATCCTGAGTGGCAAGGGGCTCATCCACGTCAGCCTCGATGGCAAGGACGCCAGCGTGTGCATCAGGGAGGAGCTGCCACGTGGCTTCTCCATGCTCTACCACGGCTGCATCAAGGTAAGCGGTTGCTCCTTTTTGCCCAACCCTCCCCTCACCACTCCCTGCTTCCTGCATCCCTTGCATAAGCACCCCTTTTCCCTTCCTACACCCTCTCCCTTTGTCCACCTCCCACTAACTCTTCCTTTTCTCCTTCCCTCACGCACTGCCCCCATGCCTTTCCACGCTTCCCTCCCTTTCCTCACCTGGGTGTCATACGAGCAGGACGAGGTGTTGGTGCAGCGAGCGGACATAGCACCACTGCAGAAGTTCATGCCCAAGAAGAAGACCGAAGACGTCGCACATGTGAGCCCTCCTCTCCACACCCCACACCCCCCTCCCACACCCCCCCCCCACACCCCCCTCCCCACACCCCCCTCCCCACACCCCCCTCCCCACACCCCTCCCCACACCCCCCTCCCCACACCCCCCTCCCCACACCCCCCTCCCCACACACACACACCACTCCGCACTGCCCTCTGCTGCCTCTCACTCCCTCCCTCCTTACCTGCTTGTGTCAACAGTCCATCTGCCTCCACGCTTCAATTTCCTCACTCGTCACTCTAATCCTCACCCTCGTGTTGCCTGTGATGTGCGTGCAGCTCATCCGCACGCCCATGCCGGGCTCGGTGGTCAAGATCTCCGTGCGCTACAAGCAGAAGGTGAGCTGTTGTGCCCACTGTGCTCCTCCACCCACGCCAAGCCTTCCAACAGTGACCGTCCATCACGTGCACACAGGTCACGGCCACCTCTTGCCCACCCGCCATGGCCACACCCAACCTGCTACCGTCTTATCCTCTGTGTATCCCTCACTCTGTGTCACGCCCACACTGCACGACACGGCACGTGGCTGGGTGTGGCAGGTGCTACCTGGGGACGAGCTGGTGACGATAGAGGCGATGAAGATGCAGAATGTGATTCGCGCGGAGGAGGCGGGGGTGATCCGCGGCATCTACGTCAAGGAGGGGCAGACCGTCAAGGTCGGCGAGATGCTGCTCGACCTCGATGTCTAGCCCTGCCATGCCCTGCCCTGCACTTCCCTGCGGTGCTCTGCACTGCCGTGCCCTGCCGTGCACTGCCATCCTGCACTACTCCGCTCGCTGCTCAAGGCCACCACAAGCCTCAAGGCCCATTGCCATGTCTATTGCAAAGCAAGCTATATAAAGTACAGCATACCGTAAACCCCCGGATATAAGACCCCCTCCAGTTGTAGACCCCCGGGTCTATAATACGGGGGGGAGGGTACTCTATATGAGTCGTTTTAGTTATACCCCCCTTTTTTAGTGCAATCATTATAAGACCCTCTCATTCTCTGGAAGAATGTAGCATTTGTCATTTTTTTGTAATGAAATCGAAGCAATTTCGGAGAGGGAACTAAATTTCTCCCCTTCCAATGACTGCGCGTGGGTATCGCGCAGTCAAACTGGTCAAATTGTGCTCTTTTCGCCACTGCCAATGTGGTGATCTCAGTGGCTAGAGTGATGCCACCTGGCAAAAACCCGAGGGTGGGGACATTCGCGCCCGCATCCATGTTCAATGCCGAGCTGCAAAGTGCAACTGACACAAACATACACAACAACACACGAATTCGTTCTATACATTCTTAAAAAATACCATGTATCAAGACCCGGGTCTTATATAACATGTGACATTTGTGTAGACCCCCCCCACTTTTTTTTTGTGATTATGTTAAGACCCCCGGGTCTTAAATCCGGGGGTTTACGGTATATTCCAGTTGATACCGTACCTAACAATTTTGATTCGCTCAGGCAGGAAGAGCTACCACGGCTCTAATCAGCTGCTTTGCTGATGGAGCTTGTCTCAGCTTGTACCTGCACTGTGCCAACTACACTAATGCAAAACAATGATATGCCTACTCCAATTTCAAGAATCCTCCCTCGGGACGATGAGCCGAACTGACTGGAAGGCAGAGTGTCAGCAGACAGGCAACCTTCTACATCAGATGAGTGCAGCAACACAGATCCACCATCTAGCACCGTGCCCTGCCACACGGCCTCCCCTTCCATACTCACGCCCTGACATCACTCGATCCTCGCCTTGCATCCAGCCACACATCCGAGAGTGCAGGCAGTGGTGGGAGCGAGAGAGGGCGCTAGTGGCGGAAGTGGCGCACGTTGGTGAAGACCATGGCGACACCATACTTGTCACAGCAGTCGATGGCGTCCTGGTCCCGCACACTGCCGCCTGGCTGGATTATCACCGACACCCCCGCCTTGCACGCCGCCTCCACTGCATCTCCCCATGCTGGTGGATGGGGGCGACGGTGAGAAACGTGGGGCGGGGCCGAAAGGAATGGGAAAACGAACTCATGTGAGGGAGAGTTTGCATACGAAGCGAAACAGTTGCTACGGTGAAACTAAAGCGAGAGGAGCGAAAGTCGGGCAGGCAGTGATGTGTATCATCCCAGCAGGCAGCACTGACCGAAGGGGAAGAAGGCATCGCTGGCGGCAGCAGCGCCCTTGGCCTCGTCGCCCGCCTTCTCCAGCGCGATCTGCCCACTCTTCACCCTGTTGGGCTGCCCGCTCCCCATACCCAGCAGCCGCCCGTCCTGCACGGCAAGGAAGACACGAGGACGGAGCACGGCAGGGAGGGATGGCAAGAGAGCTCCTGAATCAGCATGGAAGAAGCCGCTGAGGGGGCGGAGAGCGGAAGGTGCAGTAGGGTGAGAACCGCAAGTGAGGACAACGGGGCGAGGGCAGGGGAAGAAGGCAAGAGGCAAGCGAGGGGTACCTTGGCGATGGTGATGGCGTTGCTCTTGACGTGCTTCACCACCCGCCACGCAAACCGTGCGTTCTCCAAATCAGCCTCACTGGGCTGCTTCTTAGTGACGACAGTGAGCGTGAGGTCATCAGCATCCAGGTCATCCGAGTCCTGCAGCAGCCACCCACCCCCCACCTGCCGCAGCGACCGCCGCCCCTTGCTGCTCGCCTGCGCCTCCAGAATGCGCAGCGCCTTGCTCTTCCCCTTCAGCACCGCAAGCCCTTCCTCTGTGTACCCTGGAGCCACCACTATCTCATAGAACATGCGCGTCTCGCCGTCCGTGGGGGAGCGAAACTCCCGAAGTTCACGGGCTAGCGCAGCGGTGATGGGGCGGTTGAAGGCCACGATGCCGCCGAAGGCACTCACGGGGTCGGCACGGACGGCGGCACGGTAGGCCTCCAGGAGGGCTGCTTCTTGGTCTTCAGGGGAGGCGGAGGGGGGGAGCGTGACGGTGGCGGCGCCGCAGGGGTTGGTGTGCTTGACGACCACACAGGCCGCGTTGGGCATCTCCCACACGCACTGCCACGCTGCATCCGCGTCTAGATAGTTGTTGTATGACATCTCCTGTGCATGGGGGGAAAAGGGATGGAAGAAGGGGGGTTTGGGTTAAGGGTGGAGTGAGAGGAGATGGATGGGTAGTGAAGGGCATCTCCCACACGCACTGCCACGCCGCATCCGCGTCCAGGCAGCTGCTGTATGACATCTCCTGTGGGTGGGTAAGAATGTGGGGGTTCAGGGAGGTTCAGGAGTGGGGGGAATTGAGTCTGTGTGTCAATGATAGTTGCAGGACAATTTCGTCCAAAATAGCAGCGGAACGTTTCTCATTAACATCTCTCCTTCCACACTTCCACATTCCCCCGGGCATTCCAACCGTCCACACCACACTGTGCCAAGCACCCTCCACAACTTCACCTTCCCCCCTTCCTCCCCCACCTTGCCGTGGTGCTGCACAGCAGTGCCAATGCCCCCCTTGCCGCACTCCCCCAGCGACTCATCGGCGTAGAAGGCGGCACGCTGGTGGGGGTTCTCGCCGTACCGCAGCACTGCGGACAGGGTCAGCGGCACTGCCAGGGCCGGTGGTGGGGCGAACTCTGCAGTGGGCAGGAAGGGGGCGACGGTTAGAAGGGGAAAGGGAATAGGAGACGCTGGAGAAGGTATATGTGCGAGGCATGGTGGTGGTATGCATCTGAATACACGTGCATGGCCAGGGGTGTGTACAGCACATCATGTGAGCATGAGCACATGTGGGTGCAGTGCAGTGCATTCGCGCATGTGTGTGCATATCCACGCCATGCCCCCCCCACGCACCATCAGTCTTGGGCTGCGCGTGCGGCCACAGCCACTCAGACACGGCAGCATCGTACGACGCGGTGTGTTGAAACGCCTTCCACGCCAGCCGCCGCCTCAACGCCTCCTCGCCCTCGCCCCCCTCCCCCTCGGGCTTGTCCCCCTTGAGCGCGGCCAGCAGCGAGGGGTAGTCAGCGGGGTCCACCACCACCCACACGTGCTCGTGGTTCTGATGTGGGGGGGGGGAGGGAGGGGGGAAGGCGAGAGAAAGGGTAGAGGGAGGGTAAGGAGTGTGTAAAACGTCAGCAGGTGAGTGGTAGTCAGTGGAGTGGGGTTTACAACCACCCACACATGCTCGTGGTTCTGATGGTGGGGGGATGGAGATGAGAACATGGGTAGAGAGCGAGTGAGCTTCTGTGTTACAGATTGCGTGACCGCCTACATTTCTCGGCATCCCTTTTCTCTTACCCTCCCTCCCCACCGCTCCCCCCCCTCCTCCTTCCCATGCTCCCCTCACACCTCCCCATCCCCCCTCATGCTGCCCCATCCCCTTCCCGCTCTCCCCCATCCCCCCCAACTTCCGCCCACCTTAGCAGCGGCGCGGATCATGGTGGGTCCGCCGATGTCAATGCTCTCTATGCCCTTCTCTAGCACTTACCCCCTCCCTCTCTCCCTCCCCCAGACCCCCCCTGGTTTTCATGCTGCCTCCCCCCCCCTCCCCCCACCTTGGCAGCGGCGCGGATCATGGTGGGTCCGCCAATGTCGATGTTCTCAATGCCCTTCTCGAATGACGCCCCGCCCTGCGCCGTCACCGTCGCCACAAACGGGTACAGATTCACCGCCACCACGTCTATGGGACCTGGCGGGGGGAGAGACATGAGGAAGAGAGAGGGGGTGGTGCACATGGGATGTAAGGCGCTTTTCTAGGCGCGCTGCCCTGTGCTGTCACCGTTGCCACGAATGGGTACAGATTCACCGCCACCACGTCGATGGGACCTGGCGGGGGAAAGGGGAACAGGACGAAAGGGCAGAAGGGTAGGGCGCATGTGAGAGGCACAAACGGGTACAGATTCACCGCCACCACGTCGATGGGACCTGGGGGGAGGAGGGGGACGGGGGGGGGAAAGGGTGGGAGTGAGGGAGGGCCACCTGGGATGTGAGGCAAAAATAGTACAGGTTCACCGCCAACACGTCTGTGGGGCCTGGTCGGTGGGGAAGGTAGTGGGGGAGAGGAGGGCGGGTGTGGGAGGGGCATGGCATGGCGCGGCATGGTATGGTGCAGCGCAGGAGAACAAGGTGGAGGGCAAGAGCAAAGAAGGGGAAAGGGGCAGAGCGCACCGATGTTGTGGGCAGCGAGGGCGTCCATGTGCGCGGGCAGGGCGCGCCGAGCCAGAATGCCCCCGTGCACCGCTGGGTGTAGTGTCTTCACCCGCCCGTCCAGCTGGCATAGAAGGACACGTGGCGCGCACACAGCGAGAGAGGGAGGGCGACAACAGGGGGCAGACAGGAGACAGAAGCAGGATGGGTTGTGGGCGGTAAATGGAAGGGAAATCAGTGGTGTATGGGAGTGAGCGGTGGGTAACGGGGGTAGGGGGTGCGGGAAAGGGAAGTGGTGAAGTGGGTCGAGCAACCACCAGCGCGGGAAGCGAGTGGAGGCGGGGGAAGGGAAGGAAAGATGTCGTGCAAATGTCTGAAAGTCAACACCTTGGGAAATTGCAATGTTGCCTCTTGAATTCGTCCGCAAGCCCTACTTTTTGGTTGAACTATCCTTCACGGGAGTGCCATATGTGGCATGCTTACCATTTCGGGAAAGTTGGTGATCTGATCCACGGTCGTCACGGGCAGCCCCGCCTCCTCAATGGCTTTCGCCGTGCCGCCCGTCGACACCAGCGTGAAGCTGCCAGGAAGGATCGCAGCCAGCGGATCGCCGTAGGGAAGGGGAGGTGCGGGGAGAGGGGGGATGCGGAAGTCAACAGGAAGGAGAGCGGATGAATGGTGAGACGAAAGGGAGCGGATGATTCGCGAGTGGAGGGGGGCGTGGAAGCGACAACGAATGAGCGCGAATTTGCAAGCGCGTTCGCGAAAAGCCCTGAACCTCGCCGCACCAAGAGGCGGTGCCGCCCTGCCCCGCGCGTACCCGAGATCCAGCAACCCCTTGGCGAGCGTATCGAGTCCCGTCTTATCGGAGACAGAGATGAGCGCGCGCCTCTCGCCTGCACGGGAGGGAGCAGGCGCAAAGGCGGAAGGTGATGAGTTGGCGGCGCGGGAGGCGCGGAATGACCGCGAGAGATGTCGATCGCGAGAGATCGTGCGAAAGGCGATCGCTTTCAGCCGTAATGCGCGGTGGAGTGGCGATGGCGACAGTACGTGCGAGTCGAACGGGTGCGCAGCGCAGCAGATGGAGCTTGCGAATGTAACAATGCGTTTCCGTGCGACCACGAGCAAGAGCACGGCTGATCTATGAGGGCTCACTTTGACTCGCCATAACGCGTACAGCCCGACGGGCGCGCGAAGGACGGTGTTGTCGCGGCGCCGCGCGAGCAGGGACGGGCAGAGAAGCAGTTCGGCGAGACGCGGCGAGGGAGGAGAGGGCGGCGAGGGCCGCGGGGAGCGCGGAGGGCGCGGGGGACGCGAGAGATGTGAGCGCGGATTGACGAGCGGAGCAGGAGAGGTGCAGGGATGAGGCGGCGACAGTGCAATTGGCGGAAGCCATGGCCAGGCGTCTGTTGGAGGTGATGATGATACGAGGCGAACGCGAAATGGTCAGAATGTGATCGAGGGGCTGTAAAAACTGGCGGGAAAGGGGGAGTATTGCTGGGAAAAGATGAAATAAACGGAGTGAAACTGTGCTTTGCCATCTTCACTATAACACTGAATAATAATGAAACCAATAAATATTGGGCTAAAAAGGCTGTCAAGGCCGCTTATACATTTAACCCATCATACAGCAAATATGGAGACCGCAGCTAAAGTGATTCCGTTGAGGAGCCTATGAGGGCGCAGCAGATAATTTCTCAAGGTGAAAGAAGAGTTGCCGGTAGCCATTGGGCGACTCGACATCAAAGGGCACATAGTGTGGGTCCCTGGCGCGCAGAGAGGCCTCGTAGTCCCGCCATGGCACCCACTTCACCTCCGCTACCTCTGACTCCTGGTGGAAAGAGGCAGTGGGGGTTGGGAGAGAAGAAGGGTGGGATGAGTGTGAGAGCGGGGGGTGCAGCCATGATTTGGACATGCCATGATGGGCGCACAGGCACGCCTCGAATTCCCTCCATGGCACCCACTCCACCTCCGCTACCTCCGACTCCTGGCAGAGGGAGGAGGGGAGAATGTGGTTACCGGTACACGTGGGGTGAGTGAAGAAGAGTGGGGTGGGATGCATGTGAAAGTGCGGGGTGCAGCCATGAGTCGGGTATGGCATGGTGGGCACGCATGCATGTGAGAGATGGCCAGCACAGGAGGTGCAATAGACGAGAATTTAGGTGGAGGGAAGGGGCAGGTGAGGTGCAGAGAAGGGGCAGGTGGGCTGTGAGGTTGCATTCTCCATGCGGAGGGCACGTACCTGCAGTGTAAAGGCGGAGAGGGGGAGGGGCTCTGGCAGTGTGATGAGGTAGACGTCACTGAACTCGTTGTTTATGTACGTGCCCCCCTTTAGCACCCTGCATGATATGTGCGCACAGGAAGACGGGTACAGTGAGGTGGAATGAGATGACTTAAGGTGGAGTGAGGTGCAAGGAGATGCTGGGATAACAGACTGGAACGGAGCAAGCTGATGATGCACAGTGGAGAAGCACACAGCACAGCAGTGCGAGGCGAAAGGGGGGAGCAGAGAGGGAGAGAGGGGCCAGGGGGGGCACGGACGATTGGAAGGTGTCTTGGAAGAGCCACTGGAATGCGGACTCCGGCAGCGACAGGCCCAGCTCCTCCTCCATCTCGCGCCTGCCAGGACGGGGGTGAGAGAGAGGGGGATGGGATCATGGGGGCGAGCAAGGTGAGTGTTGAGGGAGGGCGGGGCGGGGCAGAGGCAGGCCGAGCGAGGCGACGACAGGAAGCTGACCACAGACGACGACCACAGCGACGCGCACATGGAGACCAGGGCGTGCAACGGAGGACGGGCATAGGTGGTGACGTGCGGGCATGGGGGGTGGCGCGCACTGGGCGGTGAGGAGGGAGGAGCAGCCGGTGGTGACGTGGCCGGCGCTCGACACGTCCCACATGTCGCCCCACGACTCCTTGTGCGCCGCGCGCCGCTGCAGCAGCAGCTGCGCGCCCTTCTCCGCGAACACCCACGTGTGCACCGCGCGGTGCCACAGCCCGCGCCTGTGCACCTCGCCGCTGGGGGGACGAGGGGAAACGGGGGAAGTGGGAGAAACGCGGAAAGGTTAGGAGGCGCGCCGGTTCGGCGAAGTATGGTGGGGGTGGGAGAAGGATGCGCTAGCAGCGCCGCGACACGGGACGGGAAGGAATGGGGACGTTGATCGCATGCAGGACAGGCAAGCAAGAGGCGGCGGGCAGGCGCGCGGCGCGCGAGGCTCACCGCGGAAGCGCCTCCCCCGTGGGGTGGCCCTTGTCGTCTAGCACGTCCAGCAGCTCCGCCTCCAGCGCCGCCGCCCCCGCCGCCCCCCGCCGCCGGATCCACCGCGTTCTGCGGCGGCGGAAGGCCCTCCGTCATGGCGCTGGCGGCGCTGACCTGCGCGCGGCGGAAAGCGAATGGCGCAACGCGCTTCGGCGAGGCGACGAGAACAGCGTCTGCTCGGGGTAAGACGCGATTGGGCGAGGCGATGAAGGTGGAGGGAGATTGCGGAGGGCGTGGTCCGTATGACGTGAGGGTGGAAAGAGTCGGGAAGAATGCGATTGCTCGAGAAAGAAATGGATGGCTGGGCTTTACTCTGACGTACGCCTTACTGACTCGAAGAGCCGATAGATATAGAAAAATGGTACTGCTATCTTTGAACGATTCAAAGAACATAGAAGTCTAATTTGATTGACTAGAGCCGTAGGCTGCATTTGCTCAATATACCAATGTGGGGGGGAATGCACACCTTCTATCTACCCACGAAAGAATATTTTGATTATCATCTCAAGCCGGACCTGTACAGAACAAGACACGTGGCACATGAACAATCAGGGAAGCTACCGTATAACTGAAGAAACACAAAAACGTTGCACATGAGAGCGACCACGAAGCCCAGAAAACAGAACAACTGAGAAAGAAGCAGCGAGTCATGCGACGCAACGCACCAGGTGGTTTTGCACATGACAGCCGCATGGCGCACTGCGCGCTTGGGATCATCCAGACAGCCGTCCATTGCTCTCAGCACCTGGATGGATGGTTGAGGAGCATGGCAGCACGCGATGATGAGACTAACCCCGCTGAGGCACCGCCAATCTTCCTGTTCCATATGTACTCAGATATAGCAGACACCTGCTGTGACTGAGCATCTACTCTACTCCCAGCACAGCAAACACACTTCACATACCACACCCCTTCCCCACCCAAGCACTTTCCCCACCTCCCACACGCCCCACCTTGGTGCGGTGAGGGAAGGTTTGTGTGTGCGGCAGTGCTGCGAGTGCTGTGAGGCTCTGCACTGCCGTCTCCCGCACCTCCTGCCACACCGGGGGTTGATGGGCCGGGGGGTGATTTGGTGGAAAGGGGAGCAGAAGGAATGGGAGACGGGCAGAGTGCAGGGTGGAACGCGTGGCGTGGGGAGGCAGGGAGAGAGACGAGGAGAAGTGGATAGAGGGGACTTGCGCAGCAGGGTTCCAAGGCACAGCTAAGGAAAGCAACGTGCTTGGCATGGGCATTGTACTACATGGGACACGATTGAATTGGTATGGTAATAAAGCGCGGAGTGGCCAACACACCTTGCAGTGGGGATAGGAGGCGAGGACGAGGAGGGTGGTGACGATGGTGGTGAGGTGCTGCCCACACAGGTCCCGCGCTGATGGGGTGGGGGATGGGGGGGGTGGGGGGTGGGGGATGGGAGCAAGAGCAGCGTGAGTGTGAGGGTGGGAACAGGAAGAGGGTGGGAGCAGCGTGAGTGTGAGGGTGTGAGGGGGCCTTGGAGAGGGAAGCGCAGCTAGCCATGAGCAAGAAAGAGGGCTCTTTCAAGGCAAGGCATCCACTCTCTCTGTCTCATGTTCACCATGTTCACTCTGCCGTGCCACACTGCCCCGCTGCACTTAAGCCACAAGCACAAGGGCGGCACACACCTTTGCCTTGCGAGGTGGCGAAGGAGGCGAGCAGCAGCAGCAGTGAGTGCAGGCGATCAGAGTCGATGCGGTGGCGGGAGAGAGAGGCGAGCGCAGAGAGCAGCAGCGGCAGCACCTGAGGGGTGCAGGGAGGGTATGCGCGGCAGTCATGAGAAGAGGAGGGGCAGCAGAGAAGCGTGCGATTCGGACATGTGACGGGGTTACAGGCACGAGCAGACCTGAGGGGCGTAGAGGAGCAGCGCAGCAGGCGGGGCATTGGCGACGGTGTGCGTGAATGCTCGTAGACACTGGGCTCTGAGGGGGGTAAGGGGCAGCAGAGAAGACGAGACGGGGAGAGGGGAACACAATGAGTGCTGGAAAAAAGGAGGAATGTGAGTGTTGTGAAAAAACGATGAGGGGTGAGTTGCGAGTGCAGTATGGGCACACAGGACAGGACGATGAGAGCAGAGAGCGGCAGGCAGAGAGGTGCACGTGCGGGCATGGAATCGCACCTGCGGACCTGGACGGTTGGGGTCATGGGCAAGTGGGGGAGGGAGGAGGCGAGGGCGGGCAGGAAGGCGGAGAGGAAGCGCTGCTGGTAGAGCGGGCGACACACACAGTGGCACTGGGAGATCAGCCACTGCGCGCCCTGCCCCATCACCACTCCAAACCCCTCCACTGCCACCACGCCCACTGCACTCACTGCTGCCTCACTTCCCCTTTCCGCACCTCCCTCCCTTCCCTCACCCTCCTCTCCCTTCTCCCCTGCACCTCCCTCAAGCCTCTCCTCTCCCTCCAGCCTCTCCTCGCCCTCCACCGTGCCCCTCTCCCCCATGGCAGTCTGCAGGAGCGCATGAGCCACCCGTGCCATGCTCGCATGGCCCCTCGCTGCTACCGCCCACCCCACCCACGCCAGCAGTCGCACCCGCCTCACTCCCTCCTGCCCTTCCCACCCACTCCCTCTCACCTCCCCTCCTCCCTCCGCCTCCACCTCTCCTCCCCCTTCCACCCCCAACACCTCCCCCAGTACTACCTGCAGTGCCTCATCCACAGACCACACTGCGCTGCTTCCTGGAACCTTCCGCCCCTCCTTGGGCCACTTATTGACGAGCGAGGCCACTGCCACCATGGCAGCCTCTGCTGACTCAGCAGACACGAGAGGTGACGTGGCAATGAGGGAGAGGTGGCGCAAGAGGCGTTGCAGCAGAGACATGTGATTTATGCCTGCTGCACCACTGGAGCCCTCCTTTTCCTCCGTGTGCTCTCTCTGTGATGGGGAATCTTTTTCCTGAGTTGCTGAGAGCGCGGACTGAGTGGTGTGAGTGGCGTCTGCAGCGAGTAACGATGGGCGCAGGCTTACGAGCAGAGCGGCTGTGAGGCGATTCACACGCTCCTCAGTGCACATGGGAAGGGCAGTCGCAAGAGGTGCAGGTGTGGGCGCAGGGTGCATGGATGATGGGGTGGAGGCGGAAGAAGAAGAGGAGGGTGTGAGGAGGTGCAGGCGAGGGGCGAGGGAGGAGAGGAGGGCGAGGTGGTGAGGGTGGGAGCAGCGGTGGGCGGCAGCAGTGAGTGTGGCACATGCTGCTGCCAGCACGGCCGCTTCACTGGCGGGTGCACGAGTGGGCGACGCGGAGGGGGGGAGGGTGGCGGAGGAGGAGGGGCGGTGGGTGAAAGCACGGAAGAGAGCCGCGGCGTGGTCGCAGAGAAAGGCAGAATCGGAGGGGCAGGTGTCGTCACACCTGGTGGCACGGGGTGTGAAAGTAGGGCGAGTACATGGTGCACTTGCATTGGCAGCACACAGGCAGAAGTGATACAGTGGACCTAGCTGCGGAAGCAGTTCGGAGCAGCACAGGTGTGTGAAACGGCGGGCAGGGAGTGACGAGGCTCATGTGCGAAAGCAACGGGGGAGGGCTTACAATGGAAGGATGCGCGTGGAGAGGATCTGAAGCAGTGCGATGATTGGCTCGTGCTGATGCCTTGGCTGGAGGGGTGTGGACACGAGGGAGGTTGGGCAGTGAGAGCAAAAGACGTGGATGGGTCACATGGATGCAAGCAAAGGTACGAGCAGGAAAATGCAATTGGTGAGGAGAGAAGAAGCGGAAAAACAATCCACACATGCTCATCAGCAAGCCGAAATTGCTTGTGAGCAAACCAGCACATGCATCACATGCAGTGATGGGTCAGCAAGGGCCGGCACGAGTAGGGCGGAGAGTGGTACAATGGGGTGCGTGGAGCAGGCGCGGAGGGCGAGGCCAGAGAGGGCAGGCAACACCATGTGCCGTGCTGCTGCCACCTCCCCCGCCACCGCTGCCAGTGCCTCCCCACACACCATCACCCGCCCTGCGTCCCCCCCCTCCGTGCTCCCCCTCTCCGCCCCTGCCTCCTCCACTTCCCCACCTCTTCTATCCTCTGCCCCCACAGAGCGCACCCCCATCACCTCCTCCCCCACTACTGCCAGCAGCGGCAGCACCACCTCCCTCATACTCATGCTGTCCTCCTCCTCCCCACTCCCATCACCCTCACCGCTTCCACCACCACCTTCCTCTCCTGCTCTCCCCCCTTCTTCCACACCCTCCTCACCGCCCTCGTCCCTCTCTCCGCCCTCCCACCCGGCCTCGGCGTGGGCAAGACAAGAGAGGGCGCGCACCAGGCAGCGGGCAATGGGGGGCTGAGGGGGCGTGCGGGGCGGGGAGAACAGCCCTGGCTGCAGTGGGTGCGAGCTGCTGGGCGCTCTTGGGGTGGTGCTGGGGGGGGCATGGGCGGTGGAACTGGGCTTGCTGGGGTGCTGCAGTGCCGTGGAGTGGGCAGTGGAAGAGTGGGTGGTGGTGGCAGTGACGTTGGTGGTGGTGGCATGGCGGGCAGGGGGGAGCGGCAGGTGGATGAGTGAGTGTGTGAAGAGTGCAGCAGCACGAGAGAGAAGGGCGGGGGAGAGAGGGGAGAAGGGCGGGGGGAAAGACACCAGGCACTCCAGCCCAGCCACTGGTGGGGAATGGGAAGAGGGGAGGAACAGGAGGGGAAAAAGAGGAGGGAACACAGAGGATGTTATTGAGGAAGAGAAAGAGGAATGCAACGCGAAGTGAAAGTAGAGTGTGAAACCGTGGGTGGAGAGGAGGAGGAAGTGACAGAGAGGAGCTGAAGGGGAGCAGCGGGTGAAAGTGCCGTGCAGAAGAGGGCAAGCGAAGAGGCAGGCGAGAGATAGGCAGGGAAAACGGTGATGCGGCAGCAGTGGCAGCACGCACGTGGCAAGGAGACCACGCACCTCCAAGCGCTGCTGCTTGCTCACACCGGGCCGTGCTGCGCTGCTCCCTCGCCCCGCTGTTGCTCCCCTGCCCCCCCTCTGCCCTGTCGCCCTCCCCGGCCACAGCAAGGTCCAGAGCCGAGCGGAAGAGCAGCAGCAGTCGCTCCCTCTCCGCCATCACTGTCACATCTGCCCTCTCCCCCCACCCTGCCGCCCCTGGCCTCATCGCCCCTCTCCTCTCTTCCCCACTCTGCCGCTCATTGCCTCCTTCGCGCTTCCCATCGCCCGCTTCATGCTCCCACTCCTCTTGTGCCGCGTCCCCTGCAGCTCGGATAAGGCTCACAAGCACATCCAATGCCATCATGCCACGTGGCTGCAGCAACTCCCTCTGCACTGCTCTGCACATCTTACTCTCCCCCTCCTCCCCACCCTGCCGCTCCACCCTCCCAGCATCAGAGCCCCCCTCTCCCCGCGAGTGGGCGGAAGGGGGCAGCAGCAGGCGCAGGAGGGGCGGAAGAAGGGCAGCAGAGACGGCAGAGGAGGCGGAGGGAGACACACGGGCCACAGAGGCCAGCAGCTCACCTGCTGCCCTCACTCCCCCTGCCATCCCTCCTTCCGTTGCCTCTCCCCTTCCCTCCCCTCCGTCTTGGCCCCCCACTGCTAGCAGCCCCCCTACGTGCAGAACGCACTCATCATCTAGCATCACGGCCAGCAGGGAGGGGAGCACAGGCTCACCGCCCATGGCGCTTCCCCCCTCGCTGCTGCTCCTGCTGCTGGGCAGAGTAGCTCGCACACACGCCACCACACACTGCACCGCCGCTGCTGACATCTCTGGGTCACTGCTTGATGGTGCGGGGTACGCGGGCGTGGGAGAGGTGCTGTGCGGTGCTGGGGCGTGCAGTGCGGGGAGGAGGGGTTTGAGGGCGCGCCAGATGGCGGGTGCGTGGGGGGCGATGGCGTGAGGACCCCAGGCGGTGGCACAGGCAGTGAGGAAACGCAGGGAGTCGAGCTGTGGGGGGACGAGGGGCGAGAGGGGCGGGAGACAGTAGAAGAACGGGGAAGGTGTCAGAAAGACAAGTGGCAAACAACCTTGGTAGGAAGCAAGGTAAGAGGGAGGGAGGAGGAAGGAAGCGAGGAAGAGAGGGAGGAAGGGGGGGAGTGAGGAACGGAAGGAGGGAGGGAGGAAGGGTTATAGGTACGGGACACTGAATTTGGGACACGGAAAACATATGGCAGGCATTGTGCGAACGCGAAAACGGGATGCAAGAGCAGGTGAGAGAAGAGGAGTACCTTGGCAGTGGCGAAGGAGGAGGAGAGCTTGTCGAGGAGCAGTGGGATGGCCATGGGGGCGAAGAGCGGCGTGCTCTGGAAGGCGCCCTGCAGGTGGAGACGCGGAGAGAGCAGGTAGCATATGGTGCGACATGTGGGAGGGAGGGAGAGGCACACGAGCGCATGCACGGGAATGCACAAACGGCAGAGTAGAGACAGGCGAGGAATGATGGGTGGTGAGTGGGAGGTGAGAGGGGTGTTGGAACAGCAAGGGCTGAAGGGTGGAAGGGTGGAGCAAGGACTCACCAGCAGCGCCTGAACAAGGTCCTCTCGCGTGATTCCCCGCGGGTCATTGGGCGGCTGCAAGGGGAGGGGGGAAGGGGAGAGGCACAACGGCTTGATGGCATGATGGCGAGGGTGAGTGCGGGGCATTATAAAATATCTGACGTGAAGGCATGATGGGGTTGCTGTGGTTGACCAAGCAGCCACAACAACCCCAGCTGACACTGCATGCGCCACATGCATGGTAGGCAGATCAGACAGATCCGCCAAAAGAGCCAGAATGACCACCATACTTAGAACAGCCAGAAAAGTCCACTTCGACCTCGATGAGTGGACTTTTCTGGCTGTTCTAAGTATGGTGGCCATTCTGGCTCTTTCGGCTGATCTGTCTGATCTGCCTACCGTGCCTGTGGCGCATGCAGTGTCAGCTGGGGCTGCTGTGGCTGCTTCGCCTCCGGTGGCTGCTGTTACTGCTGTTGCTGCTGGGGGTGCCGTGGCAGCCGCGACTGTTGTCGCTGTTGGGGTTGTTGTGGCTGTTGTGACTGCTGGTGCTGGATTGGCTGCTGTGACGGCCGCTGCAGCGACAGGAGCAGCGACAGGAGCAGCGACAGGAGCAGCGACAGGAGCAGCGACATGAGCAGCGACAGGAGCAGCGACATGAGCAGCGACATGAGGCAGCGACATCAGCGACATCAGCAACATCGCCGTTTGACCAGATCAGATCAAGTCAAACGATGTATGCGCAGATGGCAGGGGGATGAGCCTCACGGGGGAGAAGGAGACGGGGAAGTAAGCAGAGACGACGTCAAAAAGGTCATCCGCCACGCCGCCCACAGCAGCACCACCGCCCTCCCGGTGCAGCGCGCCCACCAGCAGCGCCACGACGCGCAGCGCCTGCAGCAGGCAGCGCGGGTCCTTCTCCCCATCCACCACCGTTACCACTCCCGCCGCTAGCCCCGCCCACTGCCCTCCCCCTTCACCTCGCTTGCTCGCGCCCTTGTGTGCTTGAGAGGGGGGCGCTGCGAGGCGGCGCTCCAAGAGGACGCGCAGCACTTGCAGGGCGAGCTGGGGGTGGGTGGGGAAGGAAGAGAAGCAGCAGAGACGGACAGGTCGGTGGAGGAGGGAAGAATGGTTGGCTCAAGGGCACAGACGGACGGACGGATGGGTGGGTAGAGGGGCGAGTCCAGGCTTGGGGTTTCCAAGCACGGGCTACACAACAACACACTTCCCTCGCACACATGCCATCCCCTTCCCATGCCCTAACCACTATCCCTCCCACTTAACCTCCCCCGCTCACCACCCACCCGCCTCCTTTCCTTGCTTCACACCCCACCCCCCAGCCCTCACCATGCGGTCAGCCTGCGGCAGCGCCTGCACGTGCACCTGCACCACCGCTGCTGCCATGCTCCCCGCATCCCCCTCCGCCACTGCGCCCACCCCCTCCCCCCTCTGCAGCAGCGCCACCGCCCCCGCCAGCGCCCCCCTCACACACGGCCAATCCGCCTGGCAGGCGAACGGGAGGGCGGGAGGGAGGGGGAGCGGGAGTGAGGGGGAGAGGGAGTGGGGGAGAGAGGGAGAAGGAAGGGGAGAGGGAGTGTCCTGAATGAAGATTGGATGGAATCATGGAAGGGAAAAGGAATCGGCGGGAAGGGAGGAATGAGCAGGTGAGGTGGGGAGCACGATCGAGAGGAGCGATAGGAGCGCGAGCGAGCGCTGCACGTGGAAGCAACAAAGGCATTAGGCGCAGCATGGCACGCAGCGGGGGCGGGTCGGGGCGTTGCGACGCGCACCATGCGGAGGGAGAAGTAGCGCGCGAGAGTGGCGAGTGTGGGCGGTGGCAGTGGCACCGAGAGCATGGCCTCCACCAACGCCGCTAGCAACGCCGTGCCTGACAGGGGGAGGGGAAGGGGGGGCGGGGCGCAGGGAGGGGCGATTGTGGGCGGTGCCGTGGTGGCAGCGGCACGGCGAGCATTGAGCATGGCCTACACCAGCGCCGCTAGCAGCGCTGTGCTTGGAGGGAGGAGGGGGTGGGGGGGGATAGCAGAGGCGGATGAGGAAAAAGAGCAGGGGGATTACGCAGGGTGCTGCAGGGTAGGGGGAAGGGGCAGTGAGCGGGCGGGAAGAGAGGACGGAAGGGAGTGTGCGTGGACGAAGGCGAGGCCCGCGGGCGGGGTGTGCGCCAAGGCGGAGCGCACCTCTGGCTCGGAGCGCACCTCTGGCTCGGAGCGCACCTCTGGCTCGGAGCGCACCTCTGGCTCGGAGCGCGCCGTCGGCGGTGGTGAGGTGCGGCCCCATGCCGCCCACCACGTCGCTCAGCGCCACGTGGCCGCCGCGCACCAGCGCCTGCAGCTGCTTCCGCGCCGCCTCCTGCTCTCCGCCGCGCCTATCATCGGCGCACGCCGCCTCCAACAGTGCCCGCCAGTTGCCGCCACCCGTGGACTCCGCCATCCCCTGCCCCTCGCCGATTCTGCGGTCGGCGCTCGTTGCGCGAATTCGTTGCGCCGAGTGCGCGCTAGCGGCACGAGATGGCCATCAGCAGTCCGACGAGATCGACGGCTCGCGTGCGTTCTCGATCGCGCAGCCAAAGCGACGAGGCAAGTGCGATCGGGCAGAATTGGCGTGCGGACGACGGCTAGTGACGGTACGGTTGATCTGAACGAGTGCTAGCTGTGATCGATGGCGCCTCTCGCGAGTTCACAGAATTTGAAGCTCAAAAAGAGAAACTCGTTTGAAGCACTAAACAGTAGACAAATGTATGAAATATACATTTGTCATCCGTACATTGGTTTCCTTCTATTCATGGATGGATGTGGCGTGGTGTTTTTTCTCATCATTTCGGTATGGTCCGGTTGATTCAGGTCCGCACGCCGAAATTCGCAGGGAAGGATATTCTAGGCAGGTTGGATTCATCTGGCGGTCAGGTACGGTACTTGTGCCTTGCTCGACCTTGATCCAATGTCTGCCCCATACCTGCGATCACCACCCCACCCTGAAATTTGCCATGCGTGCATGCAACACGACCGGATCATTGCCCGTGATGGAAGTCTGCAATGAGCGACTAGACTCTAGTCGAGCCAGTCCATGGAATCTCTAACGTGTTCCAGCTCAGCTCGCCGCCACACTACACTAACGACGTGTATTCCATGTAGGGCGGTGGAATTACGGTGCAGCTAGTCAGAGGTCCACTGGGGATCCCCGATGATCCTAGGGAAGGGTTACAGGCATGTTGGCCTGGGGGGTTATGGGCGCACTCACCCGCTATATAAAAAAGCCCTTTTATCCCAGTGGTTAGTGACTGGGATTCTGACATGGTATCAGAGCGAAGGTCTCGGGTTCGATTCCCGGTGTGTGCACTTCGGGCATCCCAGTGCGGGGGGGTGTCAGAGGTCCACTGGGGATCCCCGATGATCCTAGGGAAGGGTTACAGGCATGTTGGCCTGGGGGGTTATGGGCGCACTCACCCGCTATATAAAAAAGCCCTTTTATCCCAGTGGTTAGTGACTGGGATTCTGACACAGCTTTCCCATGGTGGAGCTGATTGTGGGCAATGCACCAATGGCATTTTTTCACATCTCTGCAGCAATCTGCAGGTGCTCCCTCTCGTTCCCTCCATTCAATCCAGGTTCCAGTTTCTCAAGCGTCTGTTATTCCTCCTTCAATCTGCTAGTTTTTGTTCCAGTTAGTATTCCATCTTAAATGTTTTCCTTAGGCACCCTAACAACCTCCTTATTTCGTCCAGAACCTTTATAAGAGTCGAAGAAGCACCTGCACGAGTCGAGGAAGCACCCCTACGAGTCGAAGACGCACATTTTCCTTTCCCTGCGCTATCGTTTCCTCTCGTTTCAAATTTGTAACAAGAATTACTTTCCATATCATTTCTCCGTTTCGCAGCACATTTTTACGATACGAAGAAGGATATTTGCCAATGAATCACCTTCGCTATCTCCCTGTTTCGTCACGTCTTTAGTATGTAATATACATTTAGCAAAACTTCAATATGTAGTATGTATGTTTGCAGATCGACATTTCCTGGTTAGCTTTGCGTCGAATTGCTTATTGACATGTGTTACCTTGGTGTCTCTCAGTACCAAAAGCAGGACAGTTTTTTTGAGTCACTTTCAGATGAAAGGCCAGGTATGTTCTTCACCCACCCTTTGCATGCACAGGTGGCGAATCAACCAGGCAGTCAAGCAGCACTGTCGTCTGGGTCCATTACCCTTGGAAGCCCGAGGAGGAGAGAGGGGCTTGACAGAACGGGCAGCACCATGAGTCTGTTGAATGACGCCAGGACACGAGATCTTGAGTTGCAGGTGAGTTTAGTCAACTTCAGTGTTGGTTGGCATGTGTTAAGGGAGCAACGTTCTCTTGGCAGCACGGGCAGCACCATGAGTCTGCTGAATGAGTCGAGGACAGCATTGGAGTCACAGGTGAGTGCGTGGTCAGATTAGGAGCAAGAACAGCGGGCGAGCAAAGGAGCAGTCGCAGATATGCAGCTCCACAAAGCCCGTCTGTTCTCATGTGCGTTTTGGTTGCCCGGGCTCCCCTGCTTCTCACTGACTCCAACTCTATTATCTAGTTGAAGGAAGTGCAGTTGGAATAGAAGGGGGGGCCAATTGGAAAAGCAGAGAAGCAGGCACAGTTTCAAAGTCACACACCTTTGTCCCCTTCATTCTGTTTCGTCTGCCTCGCGCTGTTCTGTGTTGGATTGTTGCCAGCTAAACGAGGTTGCAGGAGGATCTGAAGGCGGCGCCGGTAGAAAGAGCAGTGAAACAGGCTAAGCTTTGAATCACACACCTTTCTGTTTCGTTGTTCTCGCATGCCGTTGTGTGTGGTGGTTGCCAGCTGAAGGAGGTGCAGGAAGAGCTGAAGGCGGTGGGAAGGTGGGCGGAGCGGAGGAGCAGGCGCAGTGATGCAGGGCGAAACCCCTCTCAAGTATTCTGAATTCCTTTGTTTCTCTGCCCCCCCTTTGCGTGATGCAATGTCTGCCCCATCCAGCTGAAGGAGGTGCAGGAAGAGCTGAAGGCGGTGCGCAGGCGGGCAGAGGAGCAGGCACATGCAGCTGCGAGGGGCAAGCAAGCGCTGGAGCAGCAGCTGGCGAACCTCGAGCTCACAAAGGACAACGAGGTGAGGCTTCTGTTTCCCAGGCTGCATGCGTTGCTGTTGTTATTCTCATTACCCTGTGATGCTTACTCGTCTCAGTTGCACAGCAGCATTCTAAAACGCTTAGTGATCCTCATTTGACCCTTCCCATCGCCTCCCCCTTCCTCCTCCCTCCTGCCTTATCCCTTCCCTCCTTCCCGCTTCTCTTACCCCCGCTGCTATTCTGTTCTCCCCCCCATATCAAAACCTTGGAGCTGAGTTATTTCTTGGGCGCCACGAAAGTAATACACCCCCCTCCTCTCTCACCCTCCTCCCCTTGTCATTTTTCGTCTGCCCGCCAGATCAAGACGTTGGAGCTGCGCTCCTCAGCAGAGAGGGATGAGCTGGCAGCCAGGCTGGCGATCGCAGAGCAACAATTGGAGGAGAGCCGGGCGGTGGAGGGCCAGCTGAAGGAGGTGATGGAGGCGACGGGTGGGGAGTCGGGGGATCTGGAGGAGTTCCTCACGGTGATGGCTGGCATCGGGGAGACGATGGAGAAGATGAAGAGGGAATGCGCGGAGTCTCTGGAGGTGATAGAGCGGCAGGGCGAGCGGATAGCTGAGCTGGAGGAGGCGGAATCGGCGCATCGGGAGGAGTACTCCAAGGCGTTGGTTGAGCTGCAAGAGATGAAGGAGGAGACGGACAGGAAGCTGGCGGCGCATGTGGAGGAGATACAGCGGCAGCGCCAGCAGATCGCAGAGTTGGAAAAGGCGTACCAGGAGGAGGTAGTGCTGCGCAAGCGGTACTATAACATGATGGAGGGTGAGTGGGCCGAGCCTGGGCTGGGCACGGGTGGCTGTGCATAGGTTTGGCTCTCTGGTGCTCTGAACCTCTTCCCTCTTCCGTTCCCTGCCCCCACTCGTTTCCTTTGCGTAAGGGGAAGTTCCGAGAGTATGGCCCGTGTAATGCCCTGAACCCCCCCTTCGCCTCCCTTCCCCATCCTCAACCTCGTCGCTTCCCTGCACTGCACTAGTCTCTCCTGAACCAATCCCCATCCCTGTCCACACCGCCCTTTCTTTCTTTTCCCACCTTTCCTCCCTATGCATCCAGACATGAAGGGGAAGATCCGGGGCAAGGGGCAGCGCATGGAACAGCAACATTGCCTTGGCAGCACAAGCAGCAGCATGAGTCTGCTGAATGACGCCAGGGCTCAAGCTCTTGAGCCGAAGGTGAGTATAGTAAACTTCAGAGCTGGTTGGATGTGTTAAGGGAGCAACGTTGCCGTGGCAGCACCATGAGTCTGCTGAATGAGCCAAGGGCAGCATTGGAGTCACAGGTGAGTGAGTGGTCAGATTAGGGACAAGAACAGCGGGCGAGCTAAGGAGCAGTCACAGAAACGCAGCGCTGCAAAGCCCTCCCTTCTCATGTGCGTTTTGGTTGCCTGGGCTCCCCTGCTTCTCGCTGACTCAAACTCTGCTATCTTGTTGAAGGAAGTGCAGTTGGAGTAGAATGCGGTGCGGATTGGGAAAGCAAAGAAGCAGGCAAAGTTTCAAAGTCACATACCTCTTGTCCCCTTCATTCTGTTTCATCTGCCTTGCGCTGTTGTGTGTGGGATCGTTGCCAGCTGAACGAGGTTGCAGGAGGATCTGAAGGCGGCGCCGGTAGAAAGAGCAGTGAAACAGGCTAAGCTTTGAATCACACACCTTTCTGTTTCGTTGTTCTCGCATGCCGTTGTGTGTGGTGGTTGCCAGCTGAAGGAGGTGCAGGAGGAGCTGAAGGCGGTGGGAAGGTGGGCGGAGGAGCAGGCGCAGTGATGCAGGGCGAAACCCCTCGCAAGCGTGCTGAGTTACTTTGTTTCCCTCCCCCTCCTCCCCCTGCTTAATCCAATGTCTGCCCCATCCAGCTGAAGGAGGTGCAGGAGGAGCTGAAGACGGTGGGCGGGGGAACAGAGGAGCAGGCACAGGCAGCTGCAGGGGACAAGCAACCCTTGGAGCAACAGCTGGCGGACCTGGAGCTCGCAAATGAGATTGAGGTGAGGTATTTTTTTTTCTCTGAGGCGCCTCAGAATAGTTACGGGTAGCAGAGAGGGGCAGGCAGGAATTTGAAATGGAAAATGGGGAACAAGAGGAGGAATGAGTGGAGGAGAATGGAGATGAGAGAGGAACAGACGTGCAGGAGGATAGAGGGGAAGGAGAGCACTCGGAGGTACGTCTCATGCACCCCTGCCCATTCCCCATACCCTTCCTTATTGCTCTCATCCTATGTGGATGACTCAAGCCTTGCACCCTTCGTGTTTACAGTTGGCATACGTCTTCTTTGGCCCACTCACTGCTGTCAACCCCCTATTTGCACATTTCCCATGCCATTACGGCACCATTTCGTCCCAATGGAGTGCAGGAGGAGTCGCTGTGCTGCACGCCGCAGTCGTGTCACGCAGAGGAGCATGTGGTGGCGTCCTCCCTCACCAACCCACGCACACAGCTGCCCCCATCCACACCGATGCCTGGCGCTGCGGAGAGGGAAAAAAAGATTGCCGTGCTCACAGCACCGCATGCTCCAAAAAAGGGCGCCTTGAGGTATGCATGTTTCACCTATCCTGTTTTCTCCGAGCCTATGCGCTAGATTGACAGTGGTGCTAGAACTTTGGTTGAATGGTTGAATGGGCAAATTGAATAGTTGTCAGCAGTTACAATTCAAGCCCCTTTTCTTCGGTCGGACCCAATAAAAAGTTTCGACCACTCTTTTATCTCTTCCCTCCCCCTTCATTGGTCTGACCTCACTTGTTTGTTCCTGGGCTGCATGACATCAGAGAGTGGAGCGTGTACTGCACGTGGAGGATGACTTGCAGAGCAAGGATGCAATGCTTCAAGAAGTGACGACTGATAGGGACCGGCTGCAGCGGGAGGTGGAGCGACTCAAAGGTGTGGTGGAGCGACATAAAAGCGCGGCGGAGCAACTCATGGGCATGGTGGAGAGGGAGAAGGAGAAGAGAAGGACCGCCGAGGCAGCGCTGCAGGCCCGCGGACGGTAGCTGGGTTGTTGCTGAGATGTGCGGACGATCATGTGCTAGAAGTGTTGTACAGTGCTTACGAGTAGCAACATTTGAGAACGTTCTGTAGATGTGAGCAGAGATATTGATTCTATCTTGGTACAGTAGTCATCATTGTTATGGTTCGTGGACCTTGGATTAGTCCATTTCGATCAATGTCATTTGGAAACCTTTGTTTTGGTGACTTGTGTCAAGATATATGCACTGCTGCACAATGCACAAAGGGGAGCAGAACCACAATACAGTACCCTAGGTTTAGACCAGCTACAGCCCAACAACAGCCTAGCTACAGCTCATCCCTGGCGTCCAAGTCCACTGCTTTGCTCTTCTTCGTCTTGCTTGCCTTCTTTTTCTTCTTGGATGCCTTTTTTGCTGCCTCCTGGCTGCCTTCCTGGCAGCTTCCTCCTCTGCCTTCTTGTCCGTCTGCCGTATGAGAGGAAAGAGGGAGGCGAGTGAGGGAGGAAGGAAGTGAGTGAGGGAGGACGGGGGTGAGTGAGGGAGGATGGGGTTGAGTGAGAAGTGAGTAACGCACGATCACAGAATCACTGCCATGGCAACGTACGGCAGGTCCTGCTGGTTCACTCCTCGAGATGCCAACATCTTGTGCCGCATGGCATCCAGCCACATGAAGACAAACTGGCCGCCACGCAGCCACTTGGCTACCACCCGCTTGAGCTGGTCGAGAGGGGAGAGGAGAGGACGGCTGAGAGGGGAGGTGAGAGAGGAGAGGTGGGAGAGGAAATAAGTGGTAAGTGCGCCTGCCACAGCATTTGTGGGTGCCCCAATGTGCGAGGAAGGGAAGGCATGAAGCAAAGCAAATGGCGTGTCACTGACATGGCGTGTTGCACGACCACACAACATTTGGCAGTTGGTATGGGACAAGGGCAGTGTGCCTGACCCTCATGCACTTGCCTGCATGACCAGACCAGCAACACCACACCCCAAAACCATCTGCATGGTAACTGAGCGGGCCAGCACAACCAGTACCAGTTACCACCACCCACCAGCACAAGATGCATCATGTCACCTGCACGAGCTTTGACATGGCAGCGAACTGCCACCATCCCTACCCCAACCCCTTACCTGCATGAGCTGCAACGCCACAGTGTGGCTTGAGCAGGCCTAGGAAGTTGCGCACCGTCAGCTCAGCTCCACCTGGACTGGGCGCCGGGAACATTATCGACATTTGCCATGGTGCAGAGCGGTGGCGAGGGGTGAAGAAAGGAGGAGAGGGGTTAATAGGAGGTGTGTGAGTATGGGGGGTTTGCATTGATGTGGGGACGATGGGACGCGTATGCAAGGTATGAGATGAGAGCAGTGGCTCAGCATAGCATGGGATGGCAGAGCTGGCATGGGTGTGCAACACAGGGCTCTCATGCGCACAGCACCAACATGCACCCGCCAACATGCACCCAGCAACATGCACCCAGCAACATGCACCTGCCAACATGCACCCAGCACTCACAAGCACAAACAGCACTCACGTGGGGGAACTTGGCAACTTCGAACTGAGCAACGACTTTCTTCTCACTCTCGTGCACCTGGTGGGAGAAATGAGGGGTGGAGGGGATGAAGGGGATACAAGGAACGGGGGTAAAAGGGTGTGAGGGGCATGAGCCCATGACATGCCGCAGGTGATGGCGACAGTTAGCAGAGCAAGAGGGGACCATGGAACAACACCCAGGGACTATGGGGTCGAACTTTAAGCACAGACATGTCTGTGGGCCATGCAAACTGGATGCAGGGAGCATACGCTTAGTGCGAGGGGCGAATAAGTGACTGAGGGAAGAGGGGATAACAGGGGGAGGGGAGCAGGATAGAGCAAGGAATCACACAGCAAAGGAGATACGAGCAAGGAAGCATGTATTAGGGTGAAGAGAGCGACTTTGCGGAAGGTGGTGGAGAGCACTTTGTACATGCCAGGTGTCTCCCTCTTATTCGTGAACAAAAACACCTGCCAGGGACGGGCGGCAAGGGAAGCACATGCGTGGGAGGCGCGAAAGACATGTGTGGGTGGGAGGGAGGGGCGAAAGGGCATGGGGAGGCACGGAGGAGCAGCACTTGCATGGTGTCAGAAGAGCTATGGCATGGCTGGCACGTGCTGGGGCTGGAGTGCAAAAATAGGTACGGCACGATTGGCGCTCCACACTGCACCCACAGCACACCCACCCCCCTTTCCCCCACTCCCATCCACCCTGCACCCACCCCCCTTTTGCCCCATTCCCATCCACTTTGCACCGCCCCCACACTGCCACCAGACCCAACTAGCCCCCAACCCCACCGTGGGCTGCAGCAGGTTGGTCTGAGCGAAGAAGACTTCGAGCGAGTCAGCTCAGCAGTGACGGGGGTGCACGAAGGAGTCGGGCGCGAGCGCGAACACACGCTGCTGCCATGGCCTTGAGAGAGGATGGCAGGGGCATGCGCTGGTGGGGGGTGGCTTTGGTGGGGGCGGGGAAGGGCAAGGGTAAGGAGGGATGAGGCGACGGAATGAGAAGGGGTGAGAAAGGAACTGGCATGTTGACATGGCACAGATGGGTGGGAAACGGCACATGCCGGTGAGAAGGCGGCTCTACGCTTGGTGCGTGGGACGAATGTCGAAGAAGTTACGATGCATCATTCCCAGCATGTGAGCTCACCTCGGGCTCATTCTCCTCTTTGTCATCCCCCGAAGGATGAGCCTCGGGCCCACTCACTCGCACGCCCGCCCCGTCCCTCTCCCCCGCCTCTGCCCCGTGGGGAAGGAGGAGGGGAAGAGAACACCACACACACCACACATCCCCGCCTCGGCCCCATGACCTGCAGCACCGCGCGCGGGCATGATGGCATGAGGGCGGGATGAGGAGGGGGAGTACGAGGTGCAGAGCTGGTGGGATGAGATGATGATGAGCACCACCGCGCCCGCCCCCTCCCCCCTCTGCAGCACCGCCATCGCCCCCGCCAGCCAGATGCGCGCTCTACTGTGTGTCTGGCGCGAAGGGTGGTGCGCCTCTGGCTCGGAGCGCACCTCTGGCTCGGAGCGCGCCGTCGGCGGTGGTGAGGTGCGGCCCCATGCCGCCCACCACGTCGCTCAGCGCCACGTGGCCGCCGCGCACCAGCGCCTGCAGCTGCGCCCGCGCCGCCTCCTGCTCCCCGCCGCGCCTATCATCGGCGCACGCCGCCTCCAACAGCGCCCGCCAGTCGCATCCCCCCGTGGACTCCGGCATCCCCCCCTCCATCGCCGGCCCTGCGTCGCCGCTCGTTGCGCGATTAGTCGCGCCGCGTGCGTGCTAGCGCCAAGAGATGCCCATCAGCAATCCGACGAGATCTACGGCTCGCGTGCTTTCAATCGATCGCGCAGCCAAAGCGACGACGCAAGTGCGATCAGGCAGAATTGGCGTGCGGACGACGGCTAGTGACGGTATGGTTGATCTAAATGAGTGCCAACTGTGATCGGTGGCGCCTCTGGCGATGTGAACCACTCCGAGATGCTCGTTTGAAAGCTCCAAAAGAGAAACTCGTTTGAAGCACTAAATAGTAGACAAATATATCAAATATACATTTGTCATCCGTACATTGGTACCCTTTCCTGCATGGATGGATGTGGCGTGGTGTTTTCTTTTATGATTTCGGTATAGTTCGGTTGGATCAGGTCCGCACGCCGTAATTCGGAGGGAGGGAGTTTCCAGGCAGGTTGGGTTCATCTGGCGGTCAGATACACGTGCCTGCCTCGGCCTTTTCCCGCCCGCCAGAACTGACAGTCAGACCTCAACGCACGTGCATCTGCGGGCTCCGGAAAATCCGCGCAGCTCGTCTGCAGCTTCGCCGCCGCTTCGCCGTGATGGACGGCGGCCGGCGCGCGCCGGCAGGGCGAGGCGGCGAGCTGAGCTCATTGGAGGACGATCTGCTGTTCAGCGTGCTCCGCCGCCTCGACTGCCGCTCCGACAAGCTGTCGGCGGCGCTCGTGTGCAAGCGATGGCTCGCCGTGATTCGCGGCGCGTACACGCACTGTACCATCCTGAACGTCGGCGCGCTAAAAGCCGTCCTCGCGTGCTGTCCGTTGATTCAGGATCTCAACTGCTCCAAGTGCATCCGAGTATGACACGCGTGCTCCAATTCGTAGAACCAATCGCTGATTGCCTGTCGATCGGTCGCAATCGCGTGTGCGACGTGCCCTTTACGCCCTCCCCGCACCACTGGCGCATCTCTCGTTCGTTCGCCGCCATTGCTCGTGCGCCACTCCATGCCGCACGTTGCTCTTATCCTTATTCCGCTCCGTGCCTCAGCCCTTGCGCTCCTTTCTAGACGTCTTCTAGCCTCGGCCTCCAGATGCGTTTTCCGAACCTAACATGCCGTGCCTGCAGGTCCGCGACGAGCACGTGGTGGCCATCGCAAAGAGGTTCGGGCTGAGCCTGCAGCGGCTGAACCTGGCGAGCAACAAGCGGATCGGGCAGGCGGCGCTGGAGGCCATCGGCGCGCACTGCACGCAGCTGCAGGCGCTGTGGCTCACCAACGGCACCTTCCACGATGCTGCTCTCATGCCCATCGCCTCCTGCCACCAACTCAAGGTACGCCTTCCGCCCCTCCTTTCTCGGTCCTTCTCTCTCGCTCCTCCTGCCGCTCCTGTCCTCCGCGCCTCTCTCCTCTGAGTGAGCGGTGCATGCATGACTAGAACCCCTCTTCCCCCCCTCCGCTCTCCCCTGCCGCTGTCATAAGCCATTGTGTACCCACGCTGGAATGTGGCATGATGGCATGACACGTTGGCACGACATGCTGGCATGGCGTGTGGCATGATGGCGTGGTGTGCGGGGAGGGCAGGTGTTGGGGCTGGGCAACTGTCGCAGCATCACGGACATGGGGGTGTGCTGCATTGCAGCGGGGTGCAAGGCGGTGCAGGAGGTGTCACTGCGGTGGTGTGTGGGCATCACTGACCGTGGCGTGGACGTGCTGCTCTCCAACTGCCACGCCATCCACACCCTTGACCTCTCCTACACCAAGGCAAGCCACCCCATACGCCTCGCCCACCTCTCGTACACCAAGGTGCACCGTCCTCCTCTTCAAATCCAAGGCAAGCCACGCTCCTCGCCCAACCCCATCACCCTCTCTCCCTCCGACATTCCCTCACTGCTCTTGTGCCCACTTGTTCGTTCTCTTCCGTTCTCTCTGCAGTTGTCGACAATATCGTCTCCCCTCCCCGCACTCCCCACCCCCCCCTGGCGGGCAGGTGACGGAGGCGGCAATGAGGGTGGTGCAGCGGCACCCCAGCTTGACCCATCTCAACCTCTCCAGCTGCCAGTCGCTCACCGACCCCGCCATCGCCACTCTCCGCCACGGATGCACCGCACTGCAGGTGACATAAAGGGCAGGTACCACCCAGGGGTAGGCAGGTGCCACTCAGGTGGCAACTGAAGCACCTAGATGCAACTAAATGCACCTAGATGCCCCATCTCAATCCGCCTCCCTTTTCTCCCTTCTCAAAGCTCCCTTCCCTCCCTCCCTTCTTTCCTTGGGCGGCAGAGTTTGGACGTATCTGGGTGTGAGCAGGTGACGGATGTGGGACTCATGGCGCTCACAGCAGGCGCCATCCCGCTCACCGCCCTCACAGCCGCCTTCTGCCCCCAGGCAAGTCAAGGGAAGGCTAGTCCCCTCACGACATTTATTCTGACAAGTCTTCAATCAAGCAATGACAAGGCACAAACAGGCATGCCCCCGTTAATTTCGCATTTTTCGCATGCAACGGCTCACGCTTTAACTGCTCGCTGTCGTGTGCGCCTCATCTTCCTCTCCTCCCCCACCCCTCTCGGTCCCTTGCGCTGCGCCCCCATGCCACCCCCCTCGCGCCCGGCAGGTGAGTGACAACCTGTTGGCGGTGCTACCGCGCTTCCCCTCGCTGCGTCGTCTCAAGCTGGACCTCGCCCCCATCACTGACGCCGGCCTCTCCGACCTCGCTGGCGCCTCCTCCCCTCCCACCCCCGCTCCCACTCCCCCTCCCGCTGCTGCTGCTGCCGCTCCTGCTCCCGCTGCGACCGATGCTGCTGGAACTAGCACGCCAGTAGCAGCAGCAGCAGCAGGAGGAGGAGCAGCGGCAGCGGCAGTAGAGGAGGGGGTGTTAGCGAACGAGCAGAGAGCAGTAGCAGGCGGGGCGCATGCAGCAGCAGAGGGAACGAATGACTCAGCAGCAGCAGAACACGGGCCTGCGGTGGCAGCAGGAGCAGCGGATGGGCTGAGCACTGAAGGGCAGGGGGCAGCACAGGTGGCGGTGGGGATGGGGGTGGGGAGGTGGGCGGCGTTGGGGTGCTGGCAGCTGGAGGAGGTATCAGTGAGGCGGTGTGAGGCGGTGGGGGATGAGGGCCTCACAGCACTGGCAGCAGCGTGCCCCAACCTGCTCTCCCTCGACATCACCTGCTGCTCCTCTGTCACTGACGCCTCCTTGCTCGCCCTCTCCGCCCACTGCAGGTCAGCCCTCACGCCCTAACTGGTGTGCTTGCTGGCGTTTGTGGAGATGTTGCCGTGCCATGCATGCACCCCCACCCCATTGACTTGCTCATGTGCGGCCAGCTGTTGCAAGCCGCGTTCGCCTCATGTGAGCGGGAGTGCTGGCTGGTGGCTGGGGCAGAACCATGCAGTGCATGCAATGCAAGCCATCCCAGTGCAGAGCATAGTGCCAAGGCCCGTGCCTCTCTGCCCCGTGTGTGTGTGCATGCACATATCCCCCTGGCAGGCGGCTGGCGTGTGTGCGCATGGAGGCGTGTCGGGGCGTGTCAGACGCGGGGCTGGTGGGGCTCTTCCAGCACTGCACTGCGCTCTCCACCCTCGACCTCACCGACTGTGGCATCTCCGACACCAGTGCGTGCCACACCTTACCCTGCCCTGCCATGCCACGATGCCATACATGGCTGGGACGAGAAGGAGGAAGGGCATTGTGTTCCATGTACCCACATGCGTGTGTGTGGCAAAGGGGCATTGGGGGCATGTGGGCGGCGGCATGCTCTGTTGTTCTCTGCTCGTTGCTCCAAAACTCATTGTAGTTTATACACTGTACCCCACTCACTGTGTTCCACATGCTGTGTGCTCCGCTCCCCCATGCCATAACAGCCGTAGAGGGTCTGCAGCACTGCCCGTTGCTGCAGTCACTGAAGCTGGGCTTTGACATGGATATCACCGACGCTGGCCTCATCTCCCTCGCCGCTTCCTGCTCCTCCCTCACTGAACTCGACCTCTACCGGTGCGCTCCCACCCCATTCCCTGTGATGCCAGAGCACTCTATCATCGCGGTGGCAGCTCACACATGTAACCTCCGAGTATGCCATGTCATGCCACAACCCACATACATGCTCTCAACCCCACACCCCCATCACCAGCCACACATAACTTGCAACCCGCTCCTCCCTCCTTCCCACTCCCCTCCCTCCGCCGGGGCAGCTGTGAGGGGGTGTCATGTGCGGGCATAGCAGCGGTGGCGCAGGCGTGCACGGGGCTGAGCACGCTCAACCTCTCCTACTGCCACCGCGTGCGCGACGCCGCGCTCATAGCCATAGCGCGCCACTGCCCGCGCCTGCGCAACCTCGAGGTGCGCGACGCGCCTCTCCTCACCAGCGCCGGCCTCCTCGCCATCGCCGGCCTCCTGCCGCCAGCCCAGGCACCTCCGGCAACAAGCGGCGGGCAGGGCGGGGGGCAGCAGGAGGCGGGAGGGGCGGGGGGGCGGGTGTGGGGGTGCAGGGAGCTACAGGAGGTGGATGTGAAGCAGTGCACGGGCGTGGACGATGCTGGCTTCATTGCCCTCGCCCACGGCTGCCCCGACCTCCGACAGGTCCTTCCTGCTCCCCCCGCCCTGCCCACTCATGCACTCGCCTTACTGCCCCCCTCCTCCTTGCCAGCAACCCACCTCGTGCGTTCTCCACACCGTCCCACCTCATTTCCCGCCTTGCACCCCCCCCTCACCCACCAACAGGCAAATCTATCGTACACGAGCATATCGGATGCGGGGCTAGGGGCGATGGCGGGCATGGCGTGCATGACCAAGTTCAACCTCGTGCACTGCTCGCGCCTCTCCATGCCCGGGCTTGAGGCTGCACTCACGCGCTGTGCGGGGCTGAAGAAGGTGAAGCTGCTGCAGGCGTGGCGCCCGCTGCTCTCGCCCCAGCTGTTGGCAGACCTGGAGGAGAGTGGCTGCCGCTTCCGCTGGATGGACAAGCCACCCCTTGAAGCACTGCGCTCATGACGGCCCCGAGCCCAAAAG